CAGAGTCGCGCAATGTCAAATTCCATCCTTATTTAAAATTTTGGGCCGGGCGCGGTGGCTCAAGCCTATAATCCCAGCACTTTGGGAGACCGAGACGGGCGGATCATGAGGTCAGGAGATCGAGACCATCCTGGCTAACACGGTGAAACCCGTCTCTACTAAAAAAATACAAAAAAAAAACTAGCCGGGCGAGGTGGCGGGCGCCTGTAGTCCCAGCTACTCGCGAGGCTGAGGCAGGAGAATGGCGTGAACCCAGGAGGCGGAGCTTGCAGTGAGCTGAGATCCGGCCACTGTACTCCAGCCTGGGAGGCAGAGTGAGACTCCGTCTCAAAAAAAAAAAAAAAAAAAAAAGAATTTTGAGGAGGCTGAGGCAGAAGAATTGCTTGAACCCGGGAGGCGGAGGTTGCAGTGAGCCGAGATCACGCAACCGTTCTCCAGCATGAGTGACAGCGCGAGACTCCATCTCAAAAAAAAAAAAAAAAAATTACAGGAGGTGGCTCACACCTATAATCCCAGCACTTTGGGAGACCGAGGCAGACGAATCACCTGAGGTCAGGAGTTCAAGACCAGCCTAGCCAACATGGTGAAATCCCGTCTCTACCAAAATACAAAAATTAACCGGGTGGGATGGTGGGTGCCTGTAATCCCAGCTACTCAGGAGGCTGAGACGGGAGAATCACTTGGACTCCAGAGGCGGAGGTTGCCGTGAGCCGAGATCGCGCCACTGCCCTCCAGCCTGGGTGGCTGAGTGAGACTCCATCTCAAAAAAAAAAAAAAAAAAAAGAAGGAATCTTGCCCTGTTGTTCAGGCTGGAGTGCAATGGCACAATCTCGGCTCACTGTAACCTCCGCCTTCTGGTTCAAGCAATTCTCTGGCCTCAGCCTACCGAGTAGCTGGAACCACAGGCACCCGCCACCACGCCCTGCTAATTTTTTTGAGACTTTGTCTTAAAAAATAAAAATAAAAAACTTGGAACAGAGGTGAATGTATAATAGCTGCTCTTGCCCCTCCAGAGGCCACAGTCTGTAACCCCATAAGACCCAAGAACACCAGAAGTAAGTGGCAATAGGATTAATTTTGGTGGGAATCAGGGCAGCAATAGGACTAGTGGCACCCTTGGGTGGCTCTGCTTACCACGAGTCAACCATGAAGAACTTGATTCAAACCCTAGAATCCTTAGCCACCCACACAGGTCAGGCCTTAAAGGGAATTCAAGAATTCAAGAATTTCTAGACTCTTTGGCAGGCAGATCACGAGGTCAGGAGACTGAGACCATCCTGGCTAACACGGTAAAACCCCGTCTCTACTAAAAATACAAAAAATTAGCTGGGCGAGGTGGCGGGCGCCTGTAGTCCCAGCTACTCGGGAGACTGAGGCAGGAGAATGGCATGAACCCGGGAGGCAGAGCTTGCAGTGAGCCGAGATCGTGCCACTGCACTCCAGCCTGGGCGACAGAGCGACACTACAAAAGTTTGATGTGCTGTCTAACACCACCAGCTCACCCTTGAATTCTTTCCCAGGTGAAGTCAAAAACTCTCTTGGGCTAAGCCCCAATTTTGGGGATCACCTGCCCCGCATCAGCCTTGCTGTGCTGAGGCTGATCTTGAATTCCTGGGCTCAAGTGATCCTCCTGCCTCAGCTTCCCACAGTGCTGGGATTACAGACATGAGCCACTGCACCCGGCCTGAGGAGTGATTATTCTTTAACTAAGAGCATGTTAGGCCGGGCGTGGTGGCTCAAGCCTGTAATCCCAGCACTTTGGGTGGCCGAGACAGGTGGATCACGAGGTCAGGAGATCGAGACCATCCTGGCTAACACGGTGAAACCCCATCTCTACTAAAAAATACAAAAAACTAGCCGGGCGAGGTGGCGGGCGCCAGTAGTCCCAGCTACTCGGGAGGCTGAGGCAGGAGAATGGCGTGAACCTGGGAGGCGGAGCTTGCAGTGAGCCGAGATCTGGCCACTGCACTCCAGTCTGGGCGACAGAGCGAGACTCCGTCTCAAAAAAAAAAAAAAAAAAAAAAGAGCATGTTAGACAAGGAGACAAAGACAGACAGATAGGAAATATGTTCAAGGTCATAAACCAGCAAGGAATTAATGATTAGATATTAGATATGCAAATTAGTAGAAAAAAGGCTAGAAACCCAATAGCAAAAAGAAGGACAAAAGATATGAAGAGCCAGTTCACAGACGAGGGAATCCCAATGGCTGACAAGGGCACAAAGAGCGGCTCAAACTCTCCAGCCATCAGAGAACTCAGAGGAGCATGAGGTACCACTTTAAATTCATCAGATCAGCAAGCCATTAAAAAGTTGGATGGTACCAAGTCCTGAGAGAACCGGAAGCCTCCAGGTCGAGTGTCAACTCTCACAGCCACTCAGGAGAGCATCTGTGGTACTTTGTGAAGTCATGAGTGCGTGTACTCTATCCTGGAAATCCCACTCCAAGGGGAATTCTCCCACAGTCCATAACGGGACAGCAGGAAGATGTTAACTGCAGGGATGCCTGTGATGGCGGGGTTGAGGCCAGTTTGAGTGTGCAACACTGTGGAGGTGAGGTGGATCATAAAGGTGCTAGACACTCAACATGGTATAACACGCATGTAGCTTGTAGAAACAACAAACAAGATGCATGTGGAAAACAGCATCGAGAGCGAAAATGTAAACGTGTAAATAACAGAATTGAATTTCCTGCATGACATCAGGAAAATCACAAACACATCCACGTAGGAGACAGTGCCATGCATGGTACAGAGCCAGGCAGGCTTCAAGGACGCCGACTGAGCGTGCTGACATGGGGTCTGATGGATGGCAGGGGAGAGGAAGGAAGCTGGGAAGTGAAAGAGGGAAAGTGAATTACCATAACTCGAGGGGGCCCTTGTTCATAGTGTTGATGTGTAACAAACTGAGAAGTAGACTTGACTCAGCTCTGTATATGAGGCCATAAAATGACCGTGGAGGCTGGGTGTGGTGGCTCATACCTATAATCCGACTCACGCCTGTAATCCTAGCTACACGGGAGGCTGAGGCAGGAGAATCACTTGAATCCAGGAGGCAATCTTGCCACTGCACTCCAGCCCGGGTGATAGTGCGAGACTCTGTCTCAAAAGAAAAACAAAAAGTTAGGCAGGGCGCTGTGGCTCATGCCTGTAATTCCAGCCTCCTCGGGAGGCCGAGGCAGGAGAATCACTTGAACCTAGAAGTCAGAGGTTGCAGTGAGCTGAGATCGCGCCACTGCACTCCAGCTTGGGCAACAGAGCGAGACTCCGTCTCAAAAATAATAATAATAATATTTTAACTCTTGACTAAGGTCCACAAAGCTCTCAAGGCTCTCGGGCCCGTCTACTCCTCCCAGGCTCAGGTCACCCCTCCCCTTTCCTCGCTGCTCAGCCTCACTGGCTTTCTCACATTCTTCCTCCACAGGCCAAGCTCCTTCCCACCTCCTGGCCCTTGCACGTGCTGTTCCCTGGTGCCAGGAAAACACTGAACATAGCTTTTCTCAGAACTGGCTCCTTCATCATCGGCATTCCTGCTCAAATGTCACCTCTTGGAAAGGTCATCTGACGGCGGAATCTAAAGTCAGTTTTGCATCACACAGCACTTGAAATTGTCTCATTTTGCACTGTTTTATTCACCACTGTATCTATAGTACCCAAAACAGTGTTTGGCCCTGAGTAGATGTTTAATAAATACTTGTGGCAGAAATGAATGAGGGGTTTGCCAAAGTCCCAAATACTTCCAAGTGGTAGAATGGGGATTTGAACCCAGGTCCACCTAATTCACAGAGCACTTCTGCTTTCTGCTGTCTTCCACCCTCACCCTCACCAGTCCCCATGGTTTTTTTTTTTTTTTTTTGACGGAGTCTTGCTTTGTTGCCCAGGCTGGAGTGCAGTGGTATCTCCACTCACTGCAACCTCTGCCTCCAGGGTACAAGCAATTCTCCTGCCTCAGCCTCCCAAGTAGCTGGGATTACAGGCACAGGCCACCGTGCCCGGTTAATTTTTGTATTTTTAGTAGAGACTGGGTTTCACCCTGTTGGCCAGGCTGGTCTCGGACTCCTGACCTCAAGTGATCCACTCACCTCGGCCTCCCCAGGTGTGAGCCACATGCCCTGCCAAGAGTTCAGATTTTATTCTAAGTGCAATGGAAAACCAAGGGAAGATTTTTTGTTTGTTTTGTTTTGTTTTGTTTGAGATGGAGTCTTGCTCTGTCGCCCAGGCTGGAGTGCAGTGGCTCAGTCTCGGCCCACTGCAACATCTGCCTCCTGGGTTCAAGCAATTCTTCTGCCTCAGCCTCCCAAGTAGCTGGGACTATAGGCATGCGCTACCACGCCCGGCTACTTTTTGTGTTTTTAGTAAAGACAGGGTTTCTTCGCCTGTTGGCCAGGCTGGTCTGGAACTCCTGACCTCAAGTGATCCACCCGCCTCGGCCTCCCAAAGTGCTGGGATTACAGGAGTAAGCCACCGAGCCCGGCCAGTAGCATAATTTTTTAAAAAGGTTTCATTTAAGAATAACACAGAGATAAAAAGATTCGTTTTAAAAGATCACTTCGGCTGCTGCGTGAAGACTGGACTGGAGAAGTGGAAGACACATAAGCTCTCTGAGCCTCGGTTTCCACATTTGCAAAAATGGGGAGAGTACCCCTGCGGTTCAGGGCTGTTGTGAGTAAGGTGGGGAAACAGTTTCCAGGAGTCTCCTTGGCACTCGAGGAACACGCTGCGGTGCAAAAGGCCCTGTCAGGGACCTGGAGGTTGGGGCGTGGAGCCCCCCCAAGGCCCCCACCTACAGGTCTGGGGGCTGTGTCAGAGCCCGGCATCGGCTGTCGCTCGCCATGGCGGCCACTGAGTGGCGTCACTGGCCAGGCACGCGCAGTCTTGAAGAGGCTCCCGCCCATCAGCCCGCTCGGCGCTCGGCAGCTCTGGCCTGCTTAGGGCGAACGGGGGCGGTGCCGGCGTGTGGGGCGGAGCCGGCGTGTGGGGCGGAGCCAGGGCCGGAGGGGCGGGGCATGTGGGGGCGGGGCCGCGGCGACGCTGGGCGTGTAGGCGCAGATGGCGGCGGCGCACGGCGCCTGAGCGGGCCGGGGCCATGAGCGCCGCCCGGCCCCAGTTCAGCATTGATGATGCCTTCGAGCTGTCCCTGGAGGACGCGGGCCCTGGGCCCGAGGCCAGCGGGGTCGCGCGCTTTGGGCCGCTGCACTTCGAGCGTCGGGCCCGGTTCGAGGTGGCTGACGAGGACAAGCAGTCCCGGCTGCGCTACCAGGTGAACCGCCCGGCCCACCTCACCCCCTGTCCCCTGCCGGACGGGACCCCAGGCCGGGCCCCAAAGGCCTCAACTCGGGGGAGAATCTGCCTAGAGGCCCCAGCTGAAATGCGAGACCGCCCCCCCACCCCCGGACGTGACTCTTAATCCACAGCCCTGCCCAGGCCCTCCCAGTTCCGATACCGGGCCCCAGCCAGCCGGGAAGAGTCCACAGCCCAGGAGCTCATCCCTCAACTCCAGCTGGGGAACCCAGCCGATTCCCTACTCATCCTGGGTATCGCCCCTGGCCCCCGCTGGGTTGGGGGAGCTCCTCTGTATCTGAACCAGACCTTGCCCACACGCAGGAGCATCCCCTGTGCCCCAGGCCAGCTAAGCTGATGGGAACCCGCACGCCTTTCTCTATTCTGAAAGCCCTCACCCTAATTCCACCATCACCCCTAAGAGCTGGAGCCCCTCTGACATGACCAGTCCTTGCCCACCCTTTGGCTCCCACTAAACCAGAAATCAATCCCCATTTTCCCAGAAAACCTCCACCAACCCTAGGCTGCTTTTCTTGGAGACCTGGACCAGATCCCTGTACCTTGAACCTGGGAACCCTGGGCCTGGCCTTCCCTGGCACCCCAATTCCCAAGCTCCCATTCTAGGCCACTGAATGAGGGCTCCACCCTGACTCCCAAAGTTGGGAGCTCTCCTTTCCCTGGGACCCGTGCAGGCTCCTGCTCCCCAAAGCCCTGGCATCCACCCACCTCCTACCTGGTTTCTGTGATTCACCAAACCCGTTCTGCAGGGAGGGCGGAGGGCCAGGTGAGCAGCTGCCAGGCGGCCAGGCAAATGGTTGTGTAGGCCTGCTTTCTCTCCCTGGGAAGGGATGAGGAAGGGCCCCAGCCTAGCAACCCTCCTGAGACCTGTGTTCTGCAACAGAACCTGGAGAACGATGAGGATGGAGCCCAGATCTCTCCGGAGCTGGATGGGGGAGTCAGCACCAGGTTAGGGCCAGGTGGGGACCCAACCCTGTACCCCAGCCCCAGCTCCTATCCCCAGGGACCCTGCTCAGTCGCCCACCCCACTTCACTCACTTCCATCCTGTCCTATTGATTCCTAGTCTGACCCTCACTTTCCTCACAGGGTCCCCTACACTGCAGGGTCACCCTACCCTAGTGCCCAGCTGTACTCACCTCTTTCAGAAACCCCTAGTCTGGTCTGGCCCCCACCTTCATATAGGTCACCTGTCCTAAAGACACCCCTAGCTCATCCCCAGTCCCTAAATTCATCCTCACCCACCGAGGCCTCTCAGAGTCCACTGTCCTGCAAGGGGCCAGCCCCAGTCCCTGCACCACACCCTGTACTTCATCAGGACTTCTGTCCCAAAGCGACCCCATCCTTGCCTCCCTGCCCCTCACTGAGTGCCTGTCCTACAGGGATTCCGGCCGAACTTCCATCCGCAGCTCCCAGTGGTCCTTTAGCACCATCAGCAGCGGCACCCAGCGCTCCTACAACACCTGCTGCAGGTAAGCCTGCCCACCTGAGCCCCCAGCCAAGCAGCCCTGGCTCTACCCCTGCAGCCTCCTGCACCCCCTTCCTCCACCTCCTTCACATTCACCCTGCTCTCCTGCCACCCAGCTGGACCCAACACCCTTTGATCCAGAAGAACCGTCGAGTGGTGCTGGCCTCCTTCCTGCTCCTGCTGCTGGGGCTGGGTGAGTGGCCCTGAGGGTTGGAGTCAAGAGGGGCCCCGTGGGAGGCTCTGCCCTGCTTTTGTTCAGGCTCTGCCTCCCCCTTGACACTGAGCCTCCCAGCATCCTGAGGGGGCAGCTGGCTGCCATCATCACAGCCCCAGTTTACAGGTGAGGAGACAGAGGCCATGCAACCTGGGCACACAATCAGGAAATCACACATAGCTGAAATTGGAACCTGGCTTATCACTCCAGAGACTTTTCCTTTTTTAAAAAATTTAACCTGTTTAATCCATTAGAGGACAGAAGAGTAGCAGCTACCATTTATTCTGTGTCTACTTTGGGCAAGGTACAGGGCAGTTTTATTTTCCCACCTTACAGAAGTCCTACAAGTGAGGTGGTGCCCAGAAGAGCCACGTGTAGGGGCTCAGGGATGCCGAGTTCCCAGCCAGTGCAGAGCCGCAGGGCACCTGGCACTTCCCCTTATCTGGCATCTAGGCGCTGACAAGCACCCCTCTCCTACCCATTGCTCAGATAGGGGAACTTTTGGTCCAGAGCAGGCAGATCTCACACCAGGTGTCCTCTGGCTCCCAGGCACCTCGTTCTTTGGGGTAGAGGAGGCAGAGTCCCCAGAAAGGATCCAGGGTTGGGGTCACGAGTGACCCATAAGGAGGGACCAACTGTGGCTGCTACCCTGGCTCATCTCTCCGCTTCTCCAGGAAGGCCAAGGCTTCCCAGCCAGCCAGGCCCCCAGCACACAATCTGGCCTCCTCTCTGGGTGTTTGAGTGCATGGGAGGGGGCTGCCACTTCCCAGCACCGCTGCACACCGGCCCTGGTAGTGCTGCCAAGTTCTTTCATTTGTCCCCTCTCAACCCAGCAAGGCAAGTCTGGGGCTACCAGAGCTCCTTAGAGGGCCTTTCTAGGGTGCAGGGAGTGAGTTCCAGCCCCCATCATACCCTATACCCCCCCCTTTTTTTTTTGAGAAGGAGTCTTGCTCTGTTGCCCAGGCAGGAGTGCAGTGGCACAATCTCAGCTCACTGCAACCTCCGTCTCCTGGGTTCAAGGAATTTTCATGCCTCAGCCTCCAGAGTAGCTGGGATTGCAGGTGCCCACCACCACACCTGGCTAATTTTTTGAATTTTTTTAGTAGCGGTGGGGTTTCACCATGTTAGTCTCAGGTGATCCACCCATCTTGGCTTCCCAAAGTGTTGGTATTACAGGCGTAAGCCACCATGCCCAGCCCTTTTTATTTTTTTAGAGATGGGGTCTTGTTCTGTTGCCCAAGCTGGAGTGCTGTGGTATGATCGCTGCAGCCTCAAACGCTTGGACTCAAGCCATCCGCCCAGCTGAACCTCCCTAGTAGCTGGGACTAGGGAAATTTTTTTTTTTTTTTAATAATAATAGAGGCCAGGCACAGTGGCTCACGCCTGTAATCCCAGCACTTTGGGAGGCCAAGGTGGGCAGATCACGAGGTCAGGAGATCGAGACCATCCTGGCTAACACGGTGAAACCCTGTCTCTACTAAAAATACAGAAAATTAGCCGGGCGTGGTGGCGGGTGTCTGTAGTCCCAGCTATCGGGAGGCTGAGGCAGGAGAATGGTGTGAACCCAGGAGGCGGAGCTTGCAGTGAGCTGAGATGGCGCCACTGCACTCCAGCCTGGGCGACAGACAGAGCGAGACTCCGTCTCAAAAAAAAAAAATTAATAAAATAATAATAATAATAATAATAGAGATGGCCGGGCGTGGTGGCTCAAGCCTGTAATCCCAGCACTTTGGGAGGCTGAGACGGGCGGATCACGAGGTCAGGAGATCGAGACCATCCTGGCTAACACAGTGAAACCCCGTCTCTACTAAAAAAATACAAAAAAAACTAGCCAGGCGCGGTGGCGGGCGCCTGTAGTCCCAGCTACTTGGGAGGCTGAGGCAGGAGAATGGCATAAACCCGGGAGGCGGAGGTTGCAGTGAGCCAAGATCCGGCCACTGCACTCCAGCCTGGGCGACAGAGCGAGACTCCGTCTCAAAAAAAAAAAAAAATAAATAACAGATAAGGTCTCACTATGTTGCCTAGGCTGGTCTTGAACTCCTGAACTCAAGTGAGCCTCCCAAAGTGCTAGGATTATAGCCATGAGCCACCATGCCTGGACTGGGCTAATTTTTTTTTTTTTTTAGAGATGGGAATCTTGCTATGTTGCCCAGGCTGGCTTCGAACTCCTGGCCTCAATCTTCCTGCCCTGGCTCCCTGAAGCACTGAGATTACAGGCATGAGCCACCGCACCCGGCGGCCCACCCTTTTAGAAGTAGTCGGGGCAATGCACAAAGCACACAGCAGTCGATGGTGGCCCCCCATTCTCCCAGGCTCACTACCCCCCTTTGTTGCAGAGCCCAAAGTCCAGCTCCTCATTCCCCCATCCCTCTTCTAACTGGGGACCCAGGACTCCTGCACTGCCCTCTTCTTACCTCCCATATCCCGATCACCTGTACTGTTAGCTTTCAGGTTCTTATTGGTTCCTCCACTAAGGATGGGCCATGAGGGCAGGGACCTTTTCTGCCCTTCAGGGCGGAATTCCCAGTACCAGGCACTCAGTAGGTGTTCCATAAATGTTTGTTGAATGACTAAAAGCCCACCCCAACGAGCAAATAAAAATCTCTCAAGTTTCACACACTTCCCAGGGCCTGCTCAGTGCCTTGCTCTGGAAACAGAGCTTGGTGAGCTTCCTGGAGAGGGTCTCTGCCTAGGGCACCTTCAGCTCAGGTGGTGGGGGGCATCATTCCTTAGGGCTGAGCCGGGCTGGGGGTGGGAGCCCCCGCCCTCACCACTGCTCCTGCCCCCACCCCCGCGGCTCCGTCTGTGTGCAGTGCTGATCCTGGTCGGCGTGGGACTGGAGGCGACCCCCTCTCCAGGTGAGCGACCCTCCCGCCCCCACAGGCAGAGGACACCCCTGTCTTGTGTCCACGGGTCCACGGCAAGCCCTCCCACCTCCCGGCAGTACACGGCCACTTTTCAGCTGGGAGAGAGGCTTGCCCGGGCAGTCAGCGGCAGCCCGGAAGGCCTCGCAGCCCCCGCCCCCTTGCCCTGACCGGGCTGTGGTCCCTCCCGCAGGTGTCTCCAGCGCCATCTTCTTCGTGCCGGGCTTCCTGTTGTTGGTGCCTGGAGGTGGGAGCGGGCACCGAGGCGGAAGGGGCGGGGCCGCGGGGAGAGGAGGGGAGGGGCTGCGGAGCGGGACTGAGGGCGGGGTCGTGGGAAGGGGAGGGGCCTCTGCGCTGACAGGCCCCGCCCCACAGTCTATCACGTGATCTTCATCTACTGCGCGGTCAAGGGCCACCGGGGCTTCCAGTTCTTCTACCTGCCCTACTTCGAGAAGTGACCGCGAGAAGTGACCGTGGCGCAGCGTGGACTCCTTGCATCCACGTGGGCGTCTCTCTGACCCACGCCCTGTTCCGTTCCCCTCATCTCAAGGGAAGAGGCCCTCCAGGGCCCTCAAAACCCCAGCCCCTAGGGAGTTTGCTCAGGAAGTTTGGGGAATGCAGGCCTGGCCCTGGGAAAGCCGCCCCTCGCCTGCTCTGTGCCTTAACTTATTCTCGGGCCATGCGGCTGCTAGGTTGCTATTATTTTGTGCTAATAAAAGAGTAGTTAATTCCACCAGAGGCAATTGCTCTCCTCTTGCCCTGCTACCACTAGCCCAGCCCACCAGCCTGACCACAGCCCCCCTCCCAAGGACTGACCCTGAGGCTGAAGGGCTTCGAGTACCACCGAACGCGTGGCAGCCCTGATGCTGAGGCTTGCCCAAAGGTACGGGGCATGTTAGGGGCAGAGCTGGCAGTAGAAAGCCTGCTTTGCCAGCCAGGAGGCAGCCAGAACAGCCTGCCCCACCCCCAGCCCTTGGATGACTCAACCAGCCCGTCTCTGTCTGGTGGCCCTGGCCGAGAGCACTCAGAGATGACGCAGGCCTGGGACCTGGAGGCTGGTATCCTAGTTCCAGCCTGGCTCTGGGGCCCTGGGCTGCCACAGCCAGCCCTGAATGTGGGCCATGCCAAGGCAGCGGCCCAGCCCCCTCCACCCACTGCCTTCCTTCCCAGTCCCAGAGGTTGGGAGAACCTGGGGGCAGAGGGCATAGGAAGCCGTGCCTGACGGACACCCTCAGTGATCAAAGACTTGGAAATGCAGAATGTTAGAAACAAACCATCTCAGAATTTTGGAAAATCAGAGCATTTCAGAATCTTAGGAACCAAGAAACAGAATCTTTGAGAAGCCTGAAATCTGAGATCATAGTAGCTACCAGTTACCAAGTTGTTAAAAGGCACCAGGATGGCCGGGCGCAGTGGCTCAAGCCTGTAATCCTAGCACTTTGAGAGGCCAAGGTCGGAGGATCACTTGAGCCCATGAGTTCGAGACCAACCTGGATAACATGGTGAGACCCCGTCTCTATTTAAAAAAAAAAAAAGGCATTAGGCCCTGCGCTAAGCAGTGAACACGGGTTATATCTCATAATTTTCATTACCTCAGTCCCATTTTACAGATGAGGACTGACTCGCCCAAGGACAGCCAGCAGGTGGTAGGTAGAATTAGAAACATAACCCTGGGCTCCAGCTCCCTGGCCCAGGGCTCTTCCCATGACACTGTGGGGGAGGGAGAAGGAAACCAGCACTGAGCTGGTTTCCCCTACCAGCCAACCAAGAGGCTGGCTGAGTGAGCAAGAGTTGGGAGGCCCTGTTGGTGCACCTGCCCGCACAGTCTGTCTCCCCCACCGAAACATGGGTCCCACGAACCACTGCAGCACCCAACACAGCGGGGCCTTCAGGGTTCTGAGTTAGATGAATGGACACCCAGACTCCTGCTGTCGCTCCCACCTTTCCAGGCCCCACAGACTTCCCACCCTCAACCCCCATTCAAGGCACTTTGGGGGTACCCATTGGATGCAGGAACTCCTAAACCAGTGGTCTTCCAACTAGCTGTGGTAAAGGACCAGTTTTTATTTCTAATCCATCATGGTCCGGTACTTTCATAAGAAGAACTAGCCGGGTGTGATGCCTCATGCCTGTAATCCCAGCACTTTGAGAGGCCAAGGTGGGAGGATCACTTGAGCCCAGGAGTTCGAGACCAACCTGGGAAACATGGCAAAACCCCATCTCTACAAAAAATACAAAAATTAGCCAGGCATGGTTGGGCGCCCATAGTCCCAGCTACTTGGGGAGCTGGGGTGGAAGGATCACTGAGCCTGGGAGGCTGCAGTGAGCCATGATTGCACCCCTGTACTCCAGCCTGGAAGACAGAGTGAGATCTATCTCAAAAAAAAATAAAAACAAAAATTTTAAAAACTAGAAAAATGAAATAAACATACAGAGGCCAGGCGTGGTGGTTCATGCATGCAATCCCAGCACTTTGGGAGGCCGGGGCAGGCGGATCACGAGATCAGGAGTTCGAGACCAGCCTGACCAACAGGGTGAAACCCCATCTCTATGAAAAATACAAAAAAATTAGCCGGGTGTGGTGGCGCACGCCTGTAATCCCAGCTACTCAGGAGGCTAAGGCAGGAGAATCGCTTGAACCCGGGAGGCAGAGGTTGCAGTGAGCCGAGATTGCGCCACTGCACTCCAGCCTGGGCAACAGAGCAAGACTCTGTCTCAAAAAAAAGTAAAAATGCAGAATACAAGCCCCCAGTTTATCAGGTTAGACATAAAATTACATTTCAATAAATATAATCAGAACAAACATAGGAAAAAGGAAAAATGACAAAAATCATTGAATATGAACAAATGGCAATTAACACAGAATCGCAACTAACAACTTATCATTCTTTTTTTTTTCTTTTTTTTTTTTTTTTGAGACGAGTCTCACTGTCTCCCAGGCTGGAGTGCAGTGGCACAATCTCGGTTCACTGCATCCTCTCCCAGTTGAAGCGATTCTCATGCCTCAAGCCTTCCCAGTAGCTAAGATACAGGCACATGCCACCATGCCCAGCTAATCTTTGTATTTTTAGTAGAGACAGGTTTTCACTATGTTGGCCAGGCTGGTCTCCAACCCCTGAGCCACCTCACCAGACTTCATTCTACAATCCTAACAGAAAGCAATTTCAGAAGTGGTGATTTCCATCATTAGAAGTCTGCATTAGGAATCAGCAAGGTATAGTCCACAGAATGGTTTTTATATTTTGTAACGGTTGGAGAAAAGTCAAATAATAAGATTTTATAACATAAAATTAGATAATATTCAAATTTCCATGTCAATAAATGAAGTTTTACTATTATTTATTACATTTCCGACATAGCCACACTCATTTGTTGGTAACTTGACTTTGCACTATAAACTTCGCCAGCAGGTTGCGTGAGCAGCTCTTTTTTTAATAAGATTTGCTTTTTTTATTCTGCAGTTTCAATAGGATATATCCAGATATATGCTTATTTATTTATTCATTCATTTATTTATTTTTGAGATGGAGTCTCGCTCTGTCACCCAGGCTAGAGTGCAGTGGCGAGATCTCGGCTCACTGCAAGCTCCACCTCCCGGGTTCACACCATTGTCCTGCCTCAGCCTCCCGAGTAGCTGGGACTACAGGTGCCCGCCACCACGCCTGGCTAATTTTTTGTATTTTTAGTAGAGAGGGGGTTTCATCGTGTTAGCCAGGATGGTCTTGATCTCCTGACCTCATGATCCGTCCACCTCAGCCTCCCAAAGTGCTGGGATTACAGGTGTGAGCCACCGCACCCGGCATATACATTTATTTTTATTTACCCTACTCTGGCTTCAGTTTGTTCCTTCAGTCTGGGGACTTGAAGTCTGTGGAAGTCTTTATGGAAAAATTTCAGCCATTATCTCTTTGATTATTGCTTATCGCTCATTCTCTATATATTTCCTCCACCTGAGACTCCCAAGGACTTATCTGTCTTCTTCTTTGAAGCAGGGTCTCGCTTTGTCACCAAGGCTGGAGTGCAGTGGCATGATCACTGCAGCCTCCAACTCCTGGGCTCAAGTGATTCTCTCACCTCAGCCTCCTGAATAGCTGGGACTACAAGCATGAGCCACCACACACCACACCCAGCCTTTTTTTTTTTTTTTTTTAAGAGTCAGGGTCTGGCCGGGCGCAGTGGCTCACACCTGTAATCCCAGCACTTTGGGAGGCTGAGGCAGGTGAATCACAAGGTCAGGAGTTTGAGACCATCCTGGACAACATGGTGAAACCCTGTCTCTACTAAAAAAAAAAAAAAAAAAATACAAGAGTCAGGGTCTTGCTGCTAACCGGGCTGGTCTCAAACTCCTGGCCTCAAGTGATCCTCCTGCCTTAGCCTCCCAAAATGCTGGGATTACAGGCATGAGCCACCACACCCAGTCTTCTAGTGACTTTTACCTACCCTTTAATATTTTCCATCTTTTTGTCTCTCAGTGTTACATTATAAGTGACCTCTTAGATATAGCTTCTTCATTAATTTTTAAATTGTGTTTAATCTGCTGTTTAGCTTATCCATTATTTTTTCATTCCTATATATCTTTTTTTCTTTTTTTTTCTTTTTTTTTCTTTTTTTTAACAGAAGCCGTGGCTTTTTTTTTTTTTTTTTTGAGACGGAGTCTCACTCTGTCGCCCAGGCTGGAGTGCAGTGGCGCAATCTCGGCTCACTGCAAGCTCCACCTCCCGGGTTCACGCCATTCTCCTGCCTCAGCCTCCCGAGTAGCTGGGACTACAGGCGCCTGCCCCTGCGCCCGGCTAATTTTTTCTATTTTTAGTAGAGATGGGGTTTCACCATGGTCTCGATCTCCTGACCTTGTGATCCGCCCACCTCAGCCTCCCAAAGTGCTGGGATTACAGGCGTGAGCCACCACGCCCGGCCAAAAAAATAAATAAATAAAATAAATAAAATAAAAATAAATTTTTTTTTTTAAAGACAGATTCTCAGTGTGTTACCCATGCTGGAGTGCAGTGGTGTGATCTCCGCTCACTGCAACCTCTGCCTCCTGGGCTCAAGCGATCTTCTCACCTCAGCCTGCAGAATAGTTGGGACCACAGATGCAAGCACAACCACGCCCATCTAATTTTTGTAGTTTTAGTAGAGACAGGGTTTCACCATATTGCCCAGGCTGGTCTCGAACTCCTGAGCTCAAGCAACCCGCCCACCTTGGCCTCCCAAAATGCTGGGATTCCAGGCATGAGCCACACACCTGGCCTGTTGGGTTACTTTTTAAATCTTCCGGTTCTCTGTTGATGCTATTCTATTACTGCATGTTAATCTCTCTTCTCCTTTTAGCCCTCTTTTATTTGCATGTATCTTGTGGTCTCTTAGGCGGTTGTATTATGTACACTGATATGCCAGTCCTCTTGTTTTTGTCTCTGCCTCGTCTCCTTCATGGTGGTTTCTTTACTTTTATAATCTGTAGGGTTTTTTTTGTTTTGTTTTGTTTTTGAGACGGAGTCTCGATGTGTTGCTCAGGCTGGGGTGCAATGGCATGATCTCAACTCACTGCAGCTCCACCTCCCAGGCTCAAGCGATTCTCCTGCCTCAGCCTCTGAGTAGCTGAGTGCTGCCTCGACCGGTTAATTTTTGTATTTTTAGTAGAGATGGGGTTTCACCATGTTGGCCAGGCTGGCCTCGAACTCCTGATCTCAGGTGATTCACCCGCCTCAGCCTCCCAAAGTGCTAGGATTATAGGCGTAAGCCACCACTCCTGGCCCGATAATCTGTAGTTTTTATCACAAGTTCCCCTTTGGGAGCAGCAGGGTTTTTTTCCAGTTTTTCTCAGCTTTTCACACCCTGGAGAGAGACCACACTCCTGCTTGAAGGGCAGGCCCTGGAGTTCCAGGCTCTTTAGGGTAGCTGTTTCCACTCCCGGCCCTGAACATCTGTTCCTTGCCACTTTCTCCAACTGGTCCGTGCAGACAGATTAATATCTTAGCCTTTGGAGACCCTGAAATGTATCCAGGGGGTTTGTTTCTTGCTCCCCACACTCCTACAGTTCTTCTGTCACTCATGGGTATAGGAGTCCAGGCGCCCAAGCCTCTAGGCGGATCTGAAACCCCTCAGGGTCAGCTCACTCCTGCAACCCCAGCTTCGATTTCTTTGTCTTTGATACATGGAGCCATCCCTTTCTTTCTTTCAAGCTCGCTTTTTTTACGCTTGGGTTTGTTTGGTTTGTTTTTTTTTTTTGAGACGGAGTCTCACTCTATCACCCAGGCTGGAGTGCAGTGGCGCAATCTCTACTCACTGCAAGCTCCGCCTCCTGGGTTCACGCCATTCTCCTGCCTCAGCCTCCCGTGTAGCTGGGACTAAGGTGCCCGCCACCGCACCCGGCTAATTTTTGTGTTTTTAGTAGAGACGGGGTTTCACCGTGTTAGCCAGGGTGGTCTTGATCTCCTGACCTCGTGATCCGCCCGTCTCGGCCTCCCAAAGTGCTGAGATTACGGGCGTGAGCCACCGCGCCCGGCCTGTTTGTTTGTTTTTTGTCTTTTATTTTTCCTTTTTGTGGAGAATGGGGGTCTCAATATATTGCACAGGCAGGTCTCAAAACTCCTGGACTCAAGCTGTCCTCCCACTTCTGCCCCACTAACAGCTGGGATTACAGGTGTGAGCCACCACACCCGGCTCAAGTTCATTCAATTAAAAAAAACCTATAAATATAAGTAGTGGGAGGGGTCCAGCCATCCTCTCCATTCATCATGCCACTGGGGCGTCCCCACTGAATGCCACCAGTGCCAGGCAACTCCCTACCTCCCAGGGGTCTGGAGAGACCCAAATCTTGCTCACACTGAGGAACGGTGGACAGCTGAGGGCAGGTCTTCTCCAGGCAGCTTGAGTAGGGGGAGGTAAGGATGAGGATGGGTGGGTAACATAACAAGCAGACCTCGAGGCCAGGTGTTTCCAGGGACAGAAGAAGTCTGGGGGCTGCTGGGTCTCCTCGATCTTCATCCTGGAGGCTCCTGCGGGAGGGCTGTAGTCTGGGTCCGGCCGGTGTCTGGGGCCGCAGGGGCAACAGATATTCCCTCCTGGAGCCTCAGTGGCGGGAAAGCATCATCACAAACTCTGCAGGAGAGAAGGGCAGGGCTTGGGCCAGTCCACGTCAGGGATCCCAGGAGGTGCTGGGCTCAGCCTGGGCCCTGGAAGGACGGGAGGGTTTTCTGGGAAGGAGACTCACCATCAAAGTCTACGGTGCCATCCCCATTGAGGTCCACTTCTCGGAGCATCTCGTCCAGCTCAGGACCCGCCAGCGGCTCCCCGAGCAGAGCCGGTACAGCCTCCCGCAGCTCCGCTACCGTAATTCGTCCATCCCTGTCCCTGTCAAACTAAGGTCCCGGCAAGGCTCAGCCCCTCCCACCCAAAGCTGCCTCAGCCTGCAGCCAGCTCCACTCTTCTATTTTTTATTTTATCTATTTTTTTATTTTATTTATTCTGAGATGGAGTCTTGCTCTGTCACCAGGCTGGAGTGCAGTGACGCGATCTCGGCTCACTGCAACCTCTGCCTCCAGGGTTCAAGTGATTCTCCTGCCTCCGCCTCCTGAGTAGCTGGGATTACCGGTGCCCACCACAACCCCCGGCTAATTTTTATATTTTTAAGAGAGATGGGGTTTTGCCATGTTAGCCAGGCTGACCTCGAACTCCTGACCTCAGGTGATCTGCCCATGTTGGCCTCCCAAAGTGTTGGGATTACAGGCTTGAGCCACCGCACCCGGCCAGCCAGTTCCACTCTTACCACTGCCTGTACCTAGATGCTCCCCCACCCACAATCTCTGCCCATGCACACCTTCCCCATCTTCCCACACCAAGGTGGTTTGCCTCCTGCTCCAGGAAGTCCTCCTGGATGGATCCCCTAGCTGAGAGTGAGCTGAACCCTCTCTGACCCATCCCTGGGCCCCAGTCCCATCTCCTGCAGGGCTCTGGGCCTTCCCAAGGCTGAGACCTGAGTGAGAGGCCGGCAAGGATGCCACCCAGCCCTGCCCCCCTCTGCCCACCTCACCACACTCCGCACCTCTCGGAAGGCGATGCGCAGCTCTCGCACCCCCAGCATATGCGCCGTCTCCTCCCTCAGCTTTGGGCCTATCAGTTCTACAAACTCCTCAAAGTCCACACGGCCACCCACTGCGGACCCAGGAAGAGTGTCACAATGGTGAGGGCATAAGGGCTGAAGTCAAAGGAGGGACATCCCACAGGCCAGGCACCCCCACCCCCAGGCTCTGCACCTAGGAAGAAACCCCTGTCCACACTTGCAGCAGTAGAGGCCGGAGCCCCCGTCCTTGGCTGCTGGGGTGCCGGGGCTGCTGCTGCTCTTGGCAAAGAACCCAAGTGTGCGAGGAAGAGACTAGGCTTTGGAGCCAGATAGTGCCCGCTGCAAGTCTTGGCCCTGCTGCTGATGTGCGTGGCACTGGCTGACTTACTGACCCTCCCTCATCCTAGGAGTGGGGCGAGGAGCCTACTCCATGGGGTTCAAGTTCATGGCCATGAAGTACTGGAGCCCAGTGGGCAGCAATAAATGCCACTTCTGAACACACGCATGCGGTCTGTGCCTCAGTTCTAAGATGCCATCAGTCACACAAAGCACTCATGGTCACACAACTGCTTTGGGGATAGAAAAGAAGCATGAGGCCGGGCGCGGTGGCTCAAGCCTGTAATCCCAGCACTTTGGGAGGCCGAGACGGGCGGATCACGAGGTCGGGAGATCGAGACCATCCTGGTTAACACGGTGAAACCCCGTCTCTACTAAAAAATACAAAAAACTAGCCGGGCGAGGTGGCGGGCGCCTGTAGTCCCAGCTACTCGGGAGGCTGAGGCAGGAGAATGGCGTAAACCCAGGAGGCGGAGCTTGCAGTGAGCTGAGATCCGGCCACTGCACTCCAGCCTGGGTGACAGAGCGAGACTCCGTCTCAAAAAAAAAAAAAAAAAAAAAAAAAAGAAAAGCATGACACTAAATGTCCACCTCAATTGTAAATCACATCCCCATTTTGGAAATTATACGGAAAAAATGCCGGAGTCCTGGAATGAAGTGAATACGAGATTTGTCTGAGGACAGACCAGCGAAGGGGAACCACACAGTGCCTGCCATCAGACACTGAGTCACAAGGCGTGGCTGGGGTCCTCTCGCATCAGGGCAACCCCAATTCAGGCAGCTGCCACCAGGGCACAGGGCTGAGGCAGGGTCACAGGGAGAGAGAAGGAAAGGGTGCCAGGTGACTAATACCAGTGGAAAGAACTCTATCACTGAGTCAGGGGCTTCTGGGTCAGCGAGGCAGGAAGGGCTTGGGTGGAAGGAGCAAATGTGTACAGCGGCCATGGCAACAGACATCCCGAGCCAGGGTCCTGAACCTGAGCCCCAAGGGGCTCTCCTGGGTCTCCAGACTGACTTGCTGGCCTGCCTTCCCACACAGACAGGCAGGAGCTTGAACCCGGTGCCCCTGCCTGGACACCGCCACACTCCCTCACTCCCACCAGCACCCCAATGGACTCCCAAGGGCCACCTCCTGCCAGCCCCCCTGAACCATGCAGGCTGCCCAGGTGGGCAGGCTCCCACACTGACTGCGCATCTTGATGTGCTGCGAGACCTCCAGGAGCTCCATCTCGGTGGGCATGTAGCCCAGGGTCCGCATGCAGTCACCCAGTTCCCGGTGGCTGATGTAGCCGTCACGGTCAGTGTCAAACTCCTCAAAGGCGGCCTGAAGTTCTGTGGGGGAGGGAGGTCAGGCCCAGGCAGCCAGACTCAGGGACAGCTCCCACCCCTGCCAGCCGCAAGAGCCACTCACCGTCTAGCTCCTCGGGGCCCAGCTCGCGGTCCTGCAGAGGGAGAGTCCAGGATGTCCCCAGGGTCAGCCACGGCTCTGTCATCCTTCCTCCTCCATCCCCTACTCATGTTGGTCTGGGCAGGGCCCAGCCCCATCAGGGTAGAAGAAGGACGCTGAAGCCTCGTGGGACCCAGAAGGAGCAAGCTCCCTTTTGTGCTCCTGGGGCCTGGAGCTCCCACAGAGCCCTGGTGTGAATGCTGGCTCTGCCCACCGCACACGCTGGCCTAAGACCCACCCTACCCCAAACCCCAGCAACCCTGCCCCACAGCCCAGGCTTAGTCTGGGGCAGAACAGGCAGAGGGCCTCCCAGGGGCAGGGTGGGCTGAGCCCAAGGGGTGTGTCTCCAGCCCCATCCCCAGGACCCCCAGCCCAACCCAGGTCCCACCTAACCTTCCCGAAGACTCGATTGAGCAGGGGCCCGTACATCCTCTGAGCAGCGTCATGCCGGGAGTCAGGACGATGTCGGTGGGACTGGCGAGAAGAGGCCGGCCCAGGGGATGCAGGGGGTGCCCCCACTGGGCCCTCTCCAGTCCTCGGAGGGTTATTGCTGCTCCCCGGGGCCTCGGGGCCTGACTGCTCCCCAGAGCTGCCAGTGCGCTTTCGAGACCCTCGGAGCCCCCTCTCCTTCTTGCTCCTCTTCCTGGTCAGCGGGGGCTCCTCTGCATCACTCTTGGGAGTCACAACCCCTGCAGGGGGCTTCTGAGGGCCAGTGGCCGGGTCTGGGCCGTGCTGCCCCCTTGCCTGCTCTGTGGCCATGGGGGAGGGATAACAGGGCTCAGAGACAATCACCCCTGGGCACCCTTGACTTTCAGGACCCATAAAGCTGCTTATGCACCCCCACTCTTAGAGGTGAGAGCCTAGGATCGGGCTCTGAGGGGGATTAGGGTAAGTGAGGCAGGCAGCCTCAGCCCTAATCCCAGTCCTCTGCCTCAGGACTGGCCAGGGCAGAGCCAGATGGGTCCAGAGAACTGTCCTTGGTCAGAAGCAAGGGGCACCAGGACATGGTGGCTGCCATGAGCCTCAGATGCCAGATCTGCCACTTACTAGCTGGGGGAGCCAGCAAATTCCCCTCCCGGCCTCAGTTTCCCCATCTATAAAACATGGGGAATGATGCCGGGGTGCAGAGACTCAGCCCAGTTGTGACATGGGCGGAGGCCTTCGTTAGCAGAGAGGACCAGGGAAGGCACCTCAGGCGGGAGGAGGCATGTGGACAACAGCTGGGAGGTGGGAAAGGATGAGCGAGTGGCCCACTGGGACCCCCGATGGGTGACATCCTGGCCAGAGCAGAGGGCATGTGAAATGGAGAAAGAGACCAGATCACAGATGCCTCGAATGCCGTATTGAGGAGCACGGCGGGTGATGTGGAAGGAGGTGGACCTTGGAGTCTTAGAGTCTGCCCTGGGCTGGAGAAGCCCTGAGGAGGAGGGTCTGACTGTCCAGGTCCATCAGGGCTGGGGGAGGGGGTCTGGCTGGTCACTTGGCCCTACTGGGCCAGGGTTAGGGTTTCCCGGCAAGCAGCCCCATGAATGATTGATGTCCTCTCAGCTTGGGTTTCCTGCCCACCCGCCTTAGCGCCGCCAGGCGCCACACAGCAGGCCCCGGTGAGGGCTGGGGGGACAGCTGGAGCGCTGGGCAGGCAGGCACGCCCTGCTCCTTCCACCCATCGGCCTGTGTCTCCCAGGTAAGCCAGCCCTCACTGGTCAGGGCCCCAGGCTGGGGGTGCCCAGGGCTCTGATCCAGTAGGGAATGGAGACAGCAGAGGGGGTCGGCCTGAGGAGGAACCCTGGGAGTGTGGAGGGCACCAAACTAAAGGCCAAGTGGCTGGAGCCATGGGCCATGGACAGGGCCAGCCCTTCAGGGCATCTGTTCCCTCCTCAGACTGCACCACCACCTGGGCTCTCGTTGCCATCAAAAGGAAACTCCATCCCCTCTGCCAGTGGGGGAGGGCGGGGTGGGGCTGCAGGCCTCTTGGATCCCAGGTCTGGGTGCCCCCCAATTCCCCTCACCCTCACCGTCCCACCACCATCCCACTGCAGAGCCCCTCCCCTTCTCCGTTTAGCAGCTCCAGGAGACAAACAGCGGTCACCACCTGCCCGAGCGGTGGGAAGCAGGAGAGGGTCACGGTGGGGTGGAAGATGCTGGAGAGGCACCAGGGGCTCCTAGGATGGCCCTCCTGGCCCCAGGCTGCCAGGGTCCTGAGACTCAGACCTCATCCTGAGCCCATGAGTGATACTCGCTGGAGGGGAGGGGTTCCCACTGCCCCAGACTCCCTACCTTTGAGTTCCCTGGGCCCATGGGAACCAGAGCCCTCACTTCTTGTAATCCTAAACACTCGAAGCCCAGGAGAGTAGGTATAAAGGGGCCTTGTGATGAGCAGACCAAATGGTCTTCAAACTGTGTTCCCTGGAACCCTAGGGGGGTAGGGGGTAGTCTTCCCTCCTTTAATTTGAGCACCCCCTTTTACTTCATATAGGAGTTCCACTAGAATCTTTTTTTTATTTGAGACGGAGTTTTGCTTTTGTTGCTCAGGCTGGAGTACAATGGCACGATCTTGGCTCACTGCAACCTCTGCCTCCCAAGTTCAAGCGATTCTCCTAAGTAGCTGGGATTACAGGCATGCGCCACCACGGCCAGCCAATTTTGTATTTTTAGTAGAGATGGGGTTTGTCCATGTTGGTCAGGCTGGTCTTGAACTCCCGACCTCAGGTGATCCTCCCAAAGTGCTGGGATTACAGGTGTGAGCCACCGTGCCCAGCCTTAGAATACTTTACTTGAAGACAAAATTCCATACCATTAACAATGTTTGAGGCCGGGCGCGGTGGCTCAAGCCTGTAATCCCAGCACTTTGGGAGGCCGAGACGGGTGGATCACGAGGTCAGGAGATCGAGACCATCCTGGCTAACACAGTGAAACCCCGTCTCTACTAAAAAATACAAAAAACTAGCCGGGCGAGGTGGCGGGCGCCTGTAGTCCCAGCTACTCGGGAGGCTGAGGCAGGAGAATGGCTAAACCCGGGAGGCGGAGCTTGCAGTGAGCTGAGATCCGGCCACTGCACTCCAGCCCGGACGGCAGAGACTCCGTCTCAAAAAAAAAAAAAAAAACAATGTTTGAAAGCCTCCAGGTTAGTCTACCCGGACACAGTGGGATTCCACATGGCAGAAGATTAAGTCTGGCTGGACACAGTGGCTCACGCCTGTAATCTCAACACTTTAGGAGGCCAAGGTAGGAGGATCACTTGAGCTCACAAGTTCAAGACCAGCCTGGGCAACATAGTGAGACTGTGTCTCTACTAAAAATTTTAAGAGTAGTGGGTGCACACCTGTAGTCCCAGCTACTAGGGAGGCTGAGATGGGAGGGTCGCTGGAGCCCAGGAGGTGGAGACTGCAGGGACTGTGCCACTACACTCTATCCTGGGCAATAGAGCAAGGCCCTGTCTCTCAAAAAAAAAGAAAGAAAAGTCTGGGTTGAGCCCTGGCACCTCCCTTCCTACCTTCACTGATTCTCTGAACTTTCCTCTCTTCGCCTGTAAAGTAGATTGTATGAGGACTCCATGAGGTCACCCACTTCAAGTCCGTGGCAGAGGATAACTATCCACAAGGCGATGACAATGGCGCAGGGAGGGATGGCGACTTGCCTGGAGACACACAGCACCGTCTCTCCCATACTCAGTCATTCACACCATCACTGATTCACCAGGCACCCACTCCGTGTCCAGCAGGACTCCAGGGACCCCAAATGCACACTACTATGGAAGCCAACCTGGGTGCCACCGGCCACGGGCCCCGCACGGAGCTTGATGATGAAGACTTCTACCCCCAGGGTGGCTGGGACACGGTCTTCCTGGTGGCCCTGCTGCTCCTTGGGCTGCCAGCCAATGGGCTGATGGCGTGGCTGGCTGGCTCCCAGGCCCGGCATGGAGCGGGCACGCGTCTGGCGCTGCTCCTGCTCAGTCTGGCCCTCTCTGACTTCTTGTTCCTGGCAGCAGCGGCCTTCCAGATCCTGGAGATCCAGCATGGGGGGCACTGGCCACTGGGGACAGCCGCCTGCCGCTTCTACTACTTCCTGTGGGGCGTGTCCTACTCCTCCGGCCTCTTCCTGCTGGCTGCCCTCAGCCTGGACCGCTGCCTGCTGGCGCTGTGCCCACATTGGTACCCTGGGCACCGCCCAGCCCGCCTGCCCCTCTGGGTCTGCGCCGGGGTCTGGGTGCTGGCCACACTCTTCAGCGTGCCCTGGCTGGTCTTCCCTGAGGCCGCCGTCTGGTGGTACGACCTGGTCATCTGCCTGGACTTCTGGGACAGCGAGGAGCTGTCGCTGCGGATGCTGGAGGTCCTGGGGGGCTTCCTGCCTTTCCTCCTGCTGCTCGTCTGCCATGTGCTCACCCAGGCCACAGCCTGTCGCACCTGCCGCCGCCAACAACAGCCCGCAGCCTGCCAGGGCTTCGCCCGTGTGGCCAGGACCATTCTGTCGGCCTACGTGGTCCTGAGGCTGCCCTACCAGCTGGCCCAGCTGCTCTACCTGGCCTTCCTGTGGGACATATACTCCGGCTACCTGCTCTGGGAAGCCCTGGTCTACTCCGACTACCTGATCCTGCTCAACAGCTGCCTCAGCCCCTTCCTCTGCCTCATGGCCAGTGCCGACCTCCGGACCCTGCTGCGTTCTGTGCTTTCGTCCTTCGCGGCAGCTCTCTGCGAGGAGCGGCCGGGCAGCTTCACGCCAGCTGAGCCACAGACCCAGCTGGATTCTCAGGGTCCAACTCTGCCAGAGCCGATGGCAGAGGCCCAACCACAGATGGATCCTGTGGCCCAGCCTCAGGTGAACCCCATACTCCAGCCACGATCAGATCCCACAGCCCAGCCACAGCTGAACCCCATGGCCCAGCCACAGTCTGATTCTGTGGCCCAGCCACAGCTGAACCCCGTGGCCCAGCCACAGCTGAACCCCATGGCCCAGCCACAGTCTGATTCTGTGGCCCAGCCACAGCTGAACCTCACGGCCCAGCCACAGTCAGACACTAAGGTCCAGACCCCTGAAGCCGCTGCCAGTGTGCCCAGTCCCTGTGATGAAGCCTCCCCAGCCCCATCCTCACATCCCACCCCAGGGGCCCCTGAGGACCCAGCCACACCTCCTGTCTCTGAAGGAGAAAGCCCCAGTGGCACCCCGCCAGAGACGGCCCAGGGTGCAGGCCCCACGTGAAAGTCCAGGAACGCCCAGGCCCACGAGAGCGGTGAGAGAGCACAGGGGAGACAGAGGAACCAGCCAGTCAGACAGGTGGGGAGCTGCGGACGGCGTTGTCCTTAAAAACCCTGCCGAGTCCCTGGGGCCTGGAAGGAGGACTTGAGGGAGGGGAAACAAACCAGCCAAAAGTCGCAGGCAGTTCCATGTCAGCGTCCCCTGCTCCCAGCCACCAGCCTTTTCCATGGTTGCTCCCAACACACACACAGTTGCCCAACAGCCTCCGAACCACAGCTAATGGCGTCTTACAGGGTTCTGTCCCTCAACACCCCAGACCCTGCTGACAACTCTCCCCTGGGCCTCAGTCCTGCAGGACAACAGGGGGCACTTTCCCCGGGCTTGACCTGACCTCCCCTTGGTCCTTCCCTCCCTCTTCTCCTCTGGGCCTGGACACAAGGATGTGAAACAAAAAAGTCCCTGCAGAGAAGAGGGCCTCACAGGAGCCACCAGCCCCAAGCAGGAGCCTGAGGCCCTGGTGACCCACAAGCTGGCCTGGCATGGCCAAGCCTGGTCCACCAGTCCCCTTCCCCCAACAGTCACTGAGGCTGGGGCAGGGCCTCCCTCAGCAAGGCGCCAGAAGAGGCAAGAGCTGCCTAGCCTGGATTCAAACCCAGCTCTGCCATGTCCCAGCTGAGCGACTCTGGAGGAGCAACTTCACCTTCCAAGCTCCCGTGTCATCGGCTATTGAGAGGATGAAATGAGAAAGTGTGTAAGGCACCCACAAGAGCCTGGTGCACGGAGGGGCTTGGCAAACTGGCCTTTCTTCTCCTTCATCCACATACAGGGATGTCCCTTTAGAGGCTGGGGATGGATGGAGGAGGCAGCAGGGAGAGCCACCACCTGGCCCAGGCATCTGGGATCTTGTGACCAGTCTGGGCTGCAGACACCCAGGTGGCCTAAGATCAGAGGGCCGCCCCTGTGCTTTGGGGGCCTCAGAGGACTTCAAAGTCTGGCTCTATTTAAAAGTTCGATTAGCATCCGCCTGCTCCCCACCTCCCGTGGAGGGCAGCACTAGATTCTCTGTGGGGGCTGCAGGTACAGAGGGCCCCGATCCTGCCTGAATAGCAGCCTCCCTCTATCTGAGCCCAAGTGCACAGATGGGAAGTTGTCCAAGCACACACAGCTCAGGGCACCAGTGGTTCTATAAAGGGCAAAGGCTCCCAGAGGTCACATAGCCTCTCTAGGGCAGAACCAGTTCTTCCCTCTCAAGCTGCTGATGCTGCAGAAAAAACTAGAAGTGCTGAAGGTTTATCTTCCAACCCCCACTCCACTTCCCTTTTCCTACCCATCATCCTCTCCTGGCACCCACCGCACCTGCGTTCTCCCGACCCCCAGTGTTCCAGTCATACCCCCTTATCCCATTAGCTCAGTATCGTGACCTTCAGCAACTGAGATGCCCTTCCCAGCAGGTATAAATGACAATGATGTCTGATGTGCAACCCTTCCCAGAGACACCTGCATTTTCCAAATGCAGCAGACGGTGCAGGCAGCCTAGGGTGATACAGTCAGGTCTGGGTTCTGGTTACTAACTTCGTCTCAACCCATTTTCTCCTCTGTAAAATGGAGTGATCATGTTCCCCTTGCAGGCTTGGCAGTTCTGATCACTGACTGAGCCCAGGGATGGGAAGTGCCGTGGGCGGTGGTGGTGGTGATACCAGAAGCATAGTCGTAGTGATGGAATTTTGGGCACTGAGGCCCATGGGAGAGAGATTTCTGGCCAGGCATGAATTTATTGAATTCATTCATCCAGTATTTCTTGGGCACTAGCTAGATGCCTTCTGGCCAGCCTTCCATTCTGGAGCCACCTGGGTGGGGTTAAGGGTGCACTCTTGCCGGGCGCGGTGGCTCAAGCCTGTAATCCCAGCATTTTGGGAGGCCGAGATGGGCGGATCACGAGGTCAAGAGATCGAGACCATCCTGGCTAACATGGTGAAACCCCGTCTCTACTAAAAAATACAAAAAAAAAAAAAAAAAACTAGCCGGGTGAGGTGGCGGGCGCCTGTAGTCCCAGCTACTCGGGAGGCTGAGGCAGGAGAATGGCGTAAACCCGGGAGGCAGAGCTTGCAGTGAGCCGAGATCGCGCCACTGCACTCCAGCCCGGGCGACAGAGCGAGACTCCGTCTCAAAAAAAAAAAAAAAAAGGGTGCACTCTCTTGGCCGGGCATGGTGGCTCACACCTGTAATCCCAGCACTTTGGGAGGGTGAGGTGGGCAGATCACGAGGTCAGGAGATCAAGACCATCCTGGCTAACACGGTGAAACTCCTTCTCTACTAAAAATACAAAAAAATTAGCCAGACGTGGTGGTGGTCGCCTGTAGTC